CGGCATTCCAGATTCGTTATGGTGGGTACAAAGGGGTTGTGGCAGTGGACCCAAAATCATCAAAGAAGATGTCTTTGAGGACGACTATGAGCAAATTTGAATCTGAAAACACGAAGCTTGACGTCCTCGCGTGGAGTAAGTACCAGCCATGTTACCTGAACAGACAACTGATTACGCTTCTGTCTACGCTCGGAGTTAAAGACTGCGTCTTTGAGAAGAAACAGCGAGAATCCGTGGATCAGCTCGATGAGATATTAACAGATGGATTGAGGGCTCGTGAGGCTCTTGACTTGATGGCTCAGGGCGAGAACACGAATGTCCTCAAAGAAATGCTCTCTTGCGGTTACAGACCGGATACCGAGCCGTTCCTCTCGATGATGCTGCAGAATTTCCGGGCATTGAAGCTGCTGGAACTCCGTACCAAGACACGGATTTTCGTTCCACATGGAAGATCTATGATGGGCTGCCTAGATGAGACCGGAATACTAGAGTACGGTCAGGTTTTTGTACAGTTTTCGGATCCTTTGAATCCCTGGAAGCTGTTCCCCGTACATGGAGAGGTTGTTGTGGCAAAAAATCCATGTCTGCATCCGGGGGATGTTCGTGTTCTGAAAGCTGTCAGAGTTCCGGAGTTGTATCACATGGTGGACTGCGTTGTTTTTCCACAGAAGGGTCCGAGGTAATGAACTCTTTTGCAGCATCCTTAACTTGATTTGATCGTTGAGTATGGCGTTTTTCTGTTTCAGGCCTCACCCGAATGAGTGCTCAGGGAGCGATCTGGACGGAGATATCTACTTTGTCTGTTGGGACAGTGAATTGATACCACCGAGGACATCCGAGCCCATGGATTACACTCCAGAGCCTGCCCAGATCTTGGATCACGATGTCACTATAGAGGTAAAGGCGGGCTCCTTTGTTTACGTTTTTCTGAGTATATCAGTAATCGAATGCAAAAAACTAATGGGTGCAGGAAGTTGAGGAGTATTTCACAAACTACATAGTGAACGACAGCTTAGGAATCATCGCAAATGCTCACACTGCCTTTGCGGATAAGGAGCCAGCCAAAGCATTCAGCAGCCAGTGCATAGAGCTCGCCCATAAATTCTCCATTGCCGTCGACTTCCCCAAAACGGGGGTCGCAGCCGAGATTCCACCGCATCTTCACGTGAAAGAGTATCCAGATTTCATGGAAAAACCGGACAAACCCACGTACGAGTCCATGAACGTGATCGGTAAGCTCTTCAGAGAAGTAAAGGAGCGTGCCCCTCCCACCATCGCCATCAGGTCCTTCACTCTTGAGGTGGCTCGACGGTCTTATGACTCGGACATGGAGGTCAATGGGTTTGAGTACTACATCAAAGACGCTATCTACTACAAAAGCAGCTACGATAATAAGCTAGGGAATCTGATGGACTACTACGGGATCCAGACGGAGGCGGAGATACTGAGCGGGAGTATCATGAGAATGTCGAAGTCATTCACCAGGAAAAGGGATGCTGATTCGATAAGAATGGCGGTGAGGGCGCTGAGGAAGGAGGCCAGGTCCTGGTTCAACACGTCGGGGGACGGGTACGAGGTGGTGGACGAGGAGATGGCGAAAGCATCGGCATGGTACCACGTCACCTATCACCCGGACTACTGGGGATGGTGCAACGATGGTCTGAAACGCGACCATTTCCTGAGCTTCGCTTGGTGCGTTTACGACAAGCTGGTTCTGATCAAGAAGCAGACCATTCGGAGGCGGGAAGATATGGTAGCTCGCCACCTCAACCGCTCTCTGCATCTCTGAAAAATGTTTCATCTTCTGCTGGATTGTATTGTGTGTGTGTGGTAGGATTCGGATGCGATCGAGAGTCTTTGTATTCCTGGTTTGGATATTAACAAACCGTGTAAATGAAATTCCGTCGTGGGTAGGACTTGACTCTCTATATGCATCTACGTATATACGCACCTTTCAATTTCGACGGCGTAGATGTGATGATCGACGGTGTAGATCAATTCTCATAAAATGGGCTCATAATAGCAGAGATCGGCCCATTTATGGTGAAACAGATATATCCATATATATATATTAGTCTCAGCTGAAAATTGAACTTCCAAATGATTCCTCGTCGGCCCAATTGATCTTCGTCCATTGTAATCGTCTTCGTGCTTGGAGGAGAGATCGACTGCCAGGGTCGGAGGAATCCACACGCGCGGCAAAGGGTTTCTGAAAGAAAGTTTGAATTCGACACAGGAGATTGAGTTGAGTCATTGTTCTGGGTTTCGGGGGTTTTCTTCTCTCTATTGTAAAAATGATATCTCTCTTACGGAGTCGCTGTTAGGGTTTCGTTGAATTCGCCTATTCATGGCTCGATTTCTGAAAATTCGGTGATCGTTCCCTCTCTTTCTATGTTACGTAATCGCCGATATCGATCCCGATTCATGGCAATACTCTTGGGGGTTTTGATTATGTGTTACTGAGTTTATTATGACCTAATACAGCGTTAAGTCTCTGTCAAAGTTTGAACACTGCTGCAGAAGTCTGGGTTTGTGCAATTAATAGAGAAAAATGACATTTCTTGAAACTTTTTGAATGCAGCTTTTTGATGGATGACCCAAGTGGCTCTAAGTTCTCTGATTCGAGCCTCCAGGATCTGATGGGTGAACATGCTTCTCGGCCCTCAGTTGCTCCATGGGCTTGGTGCATCGAATATGTAGCCAAATTCAAGAAAGATTTACACCGTATACGCGGTAATTTGATCAGAAGCTCTCTTTGGAGCAAAAACAATGGTTCCTAGTCCTCTTATGGTTTTGTCTGTTAAGATAGCATGTGTTAATGTGTCTCTTTGCTTCAGCTATGATGAACGTGAGCCTTGACTGTCCTGTTGACTTGGGAAAGAGGACGAATGAAGTTGTGGCTCTAAGAATTTTGGAGTTTATGTTCACTTTGGGCAAGCAGCACAGTGATGGCACGCCTGTCGCCTCAGCTTCAGAGCCAAGGGTTGAGTTTGATTTATCCTCGAGCTCCATTGATGTTCTTAAAGCCATTCTTAAAGAGGTAGCATACTGTAACAATCCATATCTGGCTTCAAATTCCAAGTTTCTAATGTAGTCTCTTCTGTGTCGTTGTTAGATTCCCTTGGCAGAACTAAGACCAGGCATGTCGGAGTTGACAAAGTTTAATGTTCTTCCTTTTATTGCTCACAAGAACAGCTGCATACCTAGATGTGCACTTGAAAGGGTAAAAGATTTTTTTTTTTTTTGAAATATCCCAGATCAAGTGACGAAAGTAGTTAAGATTCCTGGAAACCGAGCATTTCTGTTCACTTGCTTCTTTGGCTTTTGTTGTCATTCAGCTGAGAGATGCGGTTTTGGAAGAGAATCAGACTATTGCAGCTCCGTGTGTTCAAGCAAGTGAACATGATCTTGGAGATGAGCAACCAATGCATGTGGACGAGCAACCGAAGCAGGTAGGTGAAGAAGCCATGCACATAGATCAGGAAGCAGTGCATATGAAAGACGTAGAGAAAGAGAATCAGAGAAATGCACATTCCTTTGCGGAAGCAAGTGAACCTGTTCTTAGAGGTGAACAACCAGGACAGATACGTGGCAAACCTATGCACAGGGGCGAGGAAGCAGTGCCAATAAATGAGCAGGCCAAAGCAATTATCATCGATGATGATGATGATGACGACGAACCAATGCAAAGAAATAAGCAGGTCAACGTAGTTGTCATCGATGGTGAGTGTGAGAATAATGAAGCAGTGGAAGAAGCAACTCTGGAACCGACAAACAATGTGAATACTGAGTCAAACTCTGGAAGTAGGGAAGGCGATGTAAGTGTGAGATGTGGGAAAGCTGGAACTTGGTTGATAAGTGGCAGCAGGGATGTTTTATCGACAGTCCAGCGAGAATGCCTGAACAGTTCTTCAATCTGCCCCAATGGGGACAGAAGTAACATTTCCGAAAATCCTCCTTCGAGCTCCCGAGCAAGACAAGACATATTATTATGTGTGAAATGTGGGAAAGATGGAACCTTGTTGGTGTGTAGTAGCCCTGATTGTTCAGTTAAGGTACACCAGGAGTGCCTGAATGGACCTGTCTGGCTCAACGAGAAGGACAACTTCCATTGTCCTCAGTGCCACTATGATCGTGTCACTTCAGAGTACCTTCAATCAAAGAACTCATTGCAGGCTGCCAAGAAAAATCTGGTCATGTTTCACCGCAAAGTTTCTACCATAAACAAGAGACTAGTGGGATGATGATAGACCCTTCAGGGCATTCACGAAGAAAAAGAACAGATGAAGGTTTGTACAAGAAGACATATAGGAGCTGAAGAATGATGGGATGAAGTGAATTTATGTTTTGTTTTGCCAGTCCAGCGGATTTGTAAAGGAGCACTAAAATAGTTATTTTGGGATTTTTTGTAGGGTAACGTGAGTATTTTGAGAAAACGGTTAGAGTTTAGGTTGAGAGAGAGACTCTCATTAAACAATTTTTCATATTGTAAACCATCTTGGTTGTTCAATCAATTATCGGGTTTATCAATTTATTACAGTTTTCTTACCGATTTGATATTAAAATCCTCTTCTATGTGCAGGTGTTTTCGCTTTTCGTATATTTTAGATAGGAGATGAAGTCGTGGTTTATCTTAGCTAGTACTAGTAGTATGTGCAGCTGGGTGACAAGGAAAAGTCATTGACCGATGTTTGACTGTAAACTCCTTTCTTAAGATTTTGAGAGGCTGTCGGAAATTGGAGCATCATCTTAAAAGAGAAGCCTAACCGTCTCTTCTTTTGTCTGCTTTGAGATTTGCATATGCATGGTTTTAACCCTCCTTTTTTTTTTCTTTTTGTCAAAATCATACAAAATGGTTTGTTAGACAATTTCTTGGACAATTTTGACAGATTTATAGGTTCATGCTCCCTGTGGGGAGCTTGGAACTGTAGAGAAATGGGGAGGGAGAGTGGAGAGGCAGAGAGAGAAGTGTGAGACGTCGTTATCGAAATAATACAACGAGAGAGAGAGAGAGAGGCGTTCTATTTCTGGGGAATCCACGACTCTATCAAACATTGAACTGCCCCACTTATAAACAGATCTCTCTTCCTATTTCAGATCTTCTTTCTACTATGCGCGCAACTTGTGATTCCTTTTTTCTTCCCACCATAATATATTTATTATATACCGAGAGGGTCTGTCGTGTGTTGTGCACTTCAGAGGACAGAAGGAAAATGATGAAACGAAGACGAGAGGTTCCTTTCCCAAATGTGGAGAAGAAAGGCTTTTTGTTTGAACATCTTAATGATAGTTCTGTTTATCGACAGTCTGACTCAGACTGCTTCCGCAAGCAACGCCCCACCACCTGCCATGGTCTCTACTCCTCATCCCACGCCTCTACCCGTCCAAATGCTCTCTATACATCAACAGAGAAAAATATACAGTCTTATTCATATATAATGTGAGTACTGGACCATTCTAACGAAAAGGCAAAGGGATACAATGACGGTAAATTGATTTTCCGATGGAATCTGTTACCATATATATGGGCTAAAAGCATCACATATGCGCATAGCCAAAAATGAAATCCTTGACGAAACTAGATTCTCTCTGACATATATATATGTACATGTGATACGTTTTATTCAACAGAATTATTGATCATCATACGTACGCCCGAGTTGTCTTTTCCGCTATATATATATATATACTGTAAGTATTTCGGTGGTAGTAAGAGACGTGAAAATAATGTCTGTAACTGATCAGTACTTGCAGGATGAATATGGTAGTAGACTGACACAGTAACAGTCATAGACCCGACAAAGAGACCGGAAACCTATAGGCCTCATCAAATCACATATAGAGATCGTATATTCGTATATAAAAACAGACACGTGTATCTATTTAGGCTAGTTGTGGCGCTTCTGTGAGTCATGAAAACCATGGAGGACAAGAAAGATGGGAAAAACCCGTTGAAGTTTGTGACAAAGGAGCTTCAAAACACACAAGAAGAGGAAGAAGAAATGGAGCTTCTTCAGCAGAGAATCTCAAGCCATCCTCTGTATGGGCTTCTCCTCGAAGCTCACTTCAACTGTTTAAAGGTATACACACACACATTTAACGACCGAAATGCGTATATATGGACTGCATGATAGCGATGATATAATTGATACGTCAGAAAAGATAAATAATTGTTCAATAAGGGTTCCTTTTTCCGTACTGTCTCCGACCAGGTTTGTTCGGGCGAAGAATCACCGGAGATGGAAACAGAATACGCAATAACCCTTCTTGACAACCTCACTCTCCGGCCAGATTCCTCCCCCGAAACCTCACCGGAACTCGACCGTTTCATGGTTCTTCTTCTTCTTCTTCCTTTTTTTTTTGTTAATCCATTACTATTTTTCTTTGCCGACATTACTCACCACAAATAACTAAGCAGTTTCATAAACGGTGATAGGGTTTTTTTTAATAAAAAAAGCACGTAAATGCCATATATAAATGCTCAAATAAACAAAAAAGAAAATCCTGCACGTATAAAAAAATGGACACGTGTTCGTACCAAAAAAAACTAATGGACATATGTGTGTATACGTACAGGGAGCGTATTGTACGATTCTACGGGAGCTGAAGGAAGCCATGGAGAAGCAGCTCCGAGAAACGGAACGTTTCGTTGATTCCATGTACTCTCAGCTAAACGACTCTTCCCCCTAGCAAACCTAAACACCCGTCTGTAACAGGCAATCCGTTGAAATTACGCCTGTGCCCTCCATTCTCGCGACCTCACAGCGTTTCCCGAAACGCGAAGGAAAACGCACGAACGATTTGTAACGTGAATGTGTCCGAAATTACAAGTGTTTGCATTTATTGCGTCCGCACAACAAATGAAACTTTAAACAAAACATTAACATTAGACGTCAAAATCGCGTTTATTGCGTATTCTGTTTACACCAGGTGGTAAAAAAGTTGAAATTGGAAATGATATAAAGTTTTAAAAATAAAAATTAATAATGGTTTCAGGGCCCATTTCTAGTGGGCTCTGTTATGTTTCGGTTACCGTTGCTGAGAGCCCACAGACCGAGTTAGTAGGGTTTTGACTCAAATGATCCACTTGGTCGCAGCTATTTCAGCGTACATCACCGAAAAGAAACAAATTTTTTTTTTTCAATTTTAACCCATTTTCCGATTGAAAAAATCCGAAATACTTTTTTTTTTTAATTTTTGTGACTTTATTACGATTAACATATAACTGATATACAACTAAAATAAGACAGATGATTTTTTTACCACTTTTTTAGAATCAATTGTAACTTTTTTACCACTTTTTTAGAATTAATTACGAAGTCGTAATAACGAAGTTGTTTTCGAACGGATAAATATCGTGTATTCATTAAGGGTAATTTTATCTTTTAAAAAAAAATTAATGTGTTATGTTTTTTTTTGTGGTGTACGACGTGTCATTTGATTAAAAAACCCCTCTGAGTCGTCTTCTTTTGTATCGTCTCCTTCCCTCCCGCTCGCATTAGGGTTTTTCAGGGAGTCTCCGTGAAATCTGCTATCTCCAAGGTAATTCTCGTGCTCGCTGATTTTATTTTCATCAATTTCTCTAAACCTTGTGATCATTTCTGTGGACTTGACCAGAATACAGTATTTCGGCCAAGTTTTCGCGAATTAGCCGACTATTCTAGCCTCGAGTTTCGAGCCTGTTGTTTATAGATATGTTCTTTTTATCTGTGCCTTATAGTGATGTTTAAGTATGTATGTGTTTCCTCTTCAATACATATGCGTTCACTATCACAAGTAATCTTGTATGGAATGCAGAAGATCTTTGTGTTATTTTACCTCCTCATATATTGTATGCTGATTCATGTCCCTGATCTTCTTAATGCCCAGAAATTTTGAAGACCTGAGCTGAAGAGTCGAAATAAGATCTTCTGCTTCCATTTTGGATGCTTTTGTATACGCCGACCTGTTTTCAATTCTTTACATGAAATGTTCTAACAGGAGTTATTGCTTTTCACGTTTGTACAGCTCTGTACATCTGAAATTACTAGAAGCTGCCACTAAGAATGAGGTGAGAATCCTCTCATCGTTCTTTTGCTATTCCAATCCAAATTCGCTTATTTGCAATTATTTCTCTTTAAAGGTGCTGATCTTTGGTTGCTTTCGTGTTATAGCCGACCCATGGAGGAAGATGTATCATGTAACGTTTATTTTCCACTTCCATCCAGTGTTTGACATCCATATAATGCATATGAGATGCAGGGTGGGAAGAATGAAGAGGAGGAATTCAACACCGGGCCACTCTCGGTCTTGATGATGAGCGTAAAAAAACAATACCCAGGTTAGTGTTTTTCATTCTTGTTTATCATATCCCCATAGCCATAGATTGTGAATATTAAACCAGTTGTTAAATATTAGGTCCTTATCAACTGTCGGAACAACAGGAAACTTCTGGGTAGGGTTAGAGCTTTTGATCGGCACTGCAACATGGTTCTTGAGAACGTTAGGGAAATGTGGACTGAGGTCTGTTCCCTTTTTGCTTTCGCCTCGTTTTTTTCCCCTCCACCCCTCTGTTTATATAAATTGATGAATCAAGAACTTCTGTGATATTCTATCGGATAGGTACCAAAGACGGGCAAAGGCAAGAAGAAGGCGATGCCCGTTAACCGTGATAGATTCATAAGCAAGATGTTCCTCCGTGGGGATTCCGTCATCATCGTCCTTAGGAACCCTAAATGAGGTTTTAGACCTTGTTTTGAGATTTATATTGTTTTGTAAATCTGGAGATGGAGATAGATTCACCACGATCATGTACTCCAACGTCATTCGGCTGTTGATATCTCTGATGTATTTGATTCATCATGGACCAGTCATGACACACGTGTACTTAAGTTTATATAAATAAAGGACTTGGGCGTCTCTTTTGTATGGTTGAGTAGGCCATTTTATTCACACCATAACAATAGAGGACTTGTTGATACAATGACCTCGACATAAAGATTTCATGTGTGGAGCAAATATTAGAAGTGAAAGAGTCGGACTGTTTTCTTTTATCAACAGTTACGAATGCGGCATACGCAAGTGTCGTTTGGATTAGTGACGGTGTAGCAGAAACCATGAGCCGCGTCTCCGTGGACTTTTACGCAACTGCTATGACAGTCGTCCACGTTGCACTGCCCACCACTCCACAGCGCTTTGTCGCAACTTCCTACGTTAATTACCTCTCCCGCTCTTC